TCTTAAAGAAACAAGTCCAGAGTTACCAAAACAAAGTGGAGGGAAGAGGCACAAAATGGGATTGGAGAGGTTGATGAGAACTAGATGGTGAGGGACTTTATAGGGCATAGAACAGTTTTGGTTTTAAGTCCAGTGGGAGCGACTGGCCCTGCTCTGCCTAGGACACTCTTTCCTGAGATCTCTGCATGGCTCACTCCTGTATGTCCTTGAGCTCTCTGCTCCAGTGCCACCTCCTGACCACTCTTTCCAGGTGATCTCCCCTTTCCACCACTGGTTTCGTTTTCTACCTCTCATCTGCTTTATTTTTCTTAAGAGTAGATATTATTCTCAACGGGTGTGTGTGTGTGTGTGTGTGTGTGTGTGTGTATTTAAGGATCTGAGATACCCATTAGAATGTTAGTTTTGAGAGTTCAGGGACTTTGACGTGTTCAGTGCTATGTCTCATTTCTACCACAGTGCCTGGTACATAGTTGGCACTCAGTTAATATTGTTTGAATGAATGATTGGATACTTTTAAGCAGGGAGTGGAAATAATCCAAATTATATTCATGAAAGATTTTGACAGTCAGGCAGAGAAGAATCTTGTAGGTGGATGAGAGAGGAAGCCAGGAGTCCTCTAAGAAAAACCATGGTGGCTTGGACCATGATGGTGTTAGAGGAGAGAGGGAAAAGCAGAGAGCTTTCAGGTGGTATATTTTGAAAGTAGAAATAAGATGTATTGATTGATGAGATATGTGTGGTGTGGGAATAGAGAAGACTCAAGGATGACTCTCAGATTTCTGATAAAGACAGCACTATTCACTGAGATGGAAAAGATAGGGGAAAGATGGAAATGAGAAGGGAAATCAGGAGTTGCATTTTGGAAATGTTAAGCTTATGATGTCTTGGTGACATGAGTGGAAATGCTAAGTACACAGCTACAAGTTTTTAACATAAGGGAAAGGGCTGGCCTAGAGTAGGAGTTGAGGAGTCACTAGCCTACAGTGGCATTTAGAGCCCTTAGACAAGACAAGATCAGCTAAAGTATCCTCCTACTCAGAAGATACCCAAAGAAGATCCAAGATTGATCCCTCAAAAACTCCAGCCTTTCAGTTTAACGTAAAAATTTATTTGTAAGGCCGGGTGCGGTGGCTCACACTTGTAATCCTAGCATTTTGGGAGGCAAAGGCAGGAGGATCACTTGAGGTCAGGAGTTCGAGATTAGCCTGAGCAAGAGCGAGACCCCACCTCTACAAAAAATAGAAATATTAGCTAGGTATGGTGATGCACGCCTGTAGCCCCAGCTACTCAGGAGGCTGAGGCAGGAGGAGCGCTCGAGCCCAGGAGTTTGAGGTTCTGGTGAGATACGATGACACCACTGTGCTCTAGCCAGGACAACAGAGTGAGACTCTGTCTCAAAAATTAAATAAAATCAAATCAAATATTTGTAAAGCAAGGGGAGATAGGTTATGTAAGAAGTTACATAGCCCAATCCCTTCCTTTTAGAGATTAATGGAAACCCAGCAATGTTAAATAACTTGTCCAAGGTCACGTAACCGTGTTGATCAATGTGGGATAGCACCTGCTCCTTCTAATTGTGTTCTGCTACCCCCATGACATCCTCTTTTTTTGTAACTGTAAAAAATGATTTTGTTGCATTTTTACTATATACTGTGCTCTATGCTTAAGCACTTTAAGAACATTATTTCCTTGGATTCAAAAGTAATATACATTCATTTTAGAGTGGAGTAGAAAAGAACTTGGGCTCTGGAGTCAGACAGCCTGAGTTCAATTCCAGTTCTACCATTGACTATCATCAGTGTGACCTTGGGCAAATTACTTAGCTGTTCTAAATCTCAATTTCCTAATCTCTAAATTAGGCTGTTGCATGGGGCTCCTTGCAATTCCATATGAATTTTAAGATCAGTTTTTCCATTTCTTTAAAAAAGAGTGTTGAGATTTTGTTAGGGATTGCATTCAATTTGTAAATCACTTTGGGTAATGTTGCCATCTTAACCATATTCAGTCTTCCAATCTACGAATGCAGGATGTCTTTCCATTATTCAGGTCTTCTTTCTTTCAAAATATTTTGTACTTTTCAGTCTATAAGTCTTGTGCCTCCTTGGTTAAATTTGTTCCTTAGCATTTTTTGATGCGATTATAAATGGAATGGTTTTCATAATTTCATTTTCTTTTGGTCCTGTATAGAGATACACCGATTTTTGTTTGTTAATCATGTATCCCACAACTTTGCTGAAATCGCTTATTAGCTCTAATAGTTTTTTATGTATAACTTTGGGGTTTTTATATATAAGTTATGTCAGATGAATTTTTAAAAACATGTGTAGACCTGGTTATTACATTTACACCAGAGTTTTTTTTTTTGTTTTTTTTTTTGAGACAGAGTCTCACTCTGTTGCCCAGGCTAGAGTGC